TTACTAGACAATTTTTTCCAGTCAATAAATAATATACAGTAAATTAATTTCTTGGACTCATCACGAAAGCGTAAATCACGTGTCAGAGCTGTCATTCCCTTTAACTCTTTACAGGATGCAAATAATCATTACTTAAGTGGAAATACATTAGTTAATTGGGTAGAAAGAGATTACGAGAATGCATTGGTCCACATCCAATTTTCTAATTTCTTTACGTATTTTTTTAAAGGTAATTTAAATTATTTAGGGATAATGTTTGCATCATATCTATAACACAGGATGAAATTGAATGCGTGTAATATTTATACATCATTATCAAGATAATTTTTTTTAATTTATTTTTTCATATTAAACTTGCGATGAACTACGTTGCAAGATAGTTATTAAATACATATTAACATGGAGTGAAATGGAATATTAAATACAATGCATATATTGAGAAAAATGGTTGTTGAAAATATTTTATTCACTGCTTGATTCCCGCTTAGCTATGGACTATTTTCATAGAACACTATTACAGAGCACTACTTTCAAGAAAGCGTACTAGATGTGGAAGACAAGGAAGAACAACAAAATTAATCATTGTTATTTTCACCCATATGAAGAAGTTGCTATTTTTTAATTTTCGTGTGCCTTGTTTTGAGGTTAGTGAAAGGTTTGGAGAAAGAGCTTCTCTATTTCTGTCTCATTTATTATTCTCCTACTATTCTTAATTTTGTATCAGCTTCAATAAACTACATAAATAATCAACATTTTATCATTTTCTTTTATTTTGCAGGTGGTTAATCCACTTACCAAATATCCTTTTTATAGGGGCCTTGCATAAATAGCTAAATTCATGAGAGTGATATGAATAAAAAAATGATTTTGTTTCCATCCTGCATTTATAAATTTAAAATTCCTTCTTGTTCTAAAGTGATATTTGAGAGAAATAGGAAAAAAGTATCTTTTGCAAAATGCTGCACAACTAAAAACATTTCTAATTACCATCTTGCTTTACTTGAGGAAATGAATTATTAAACCTAATAAGTTGATTGAAGGTGAAAGTATTTGAAAGGAAAGAATGTGTTATATCGATGTATGTTTGAAAATGTGTTCTATGATATGGCATTTCTCTTGCATCCCCTTTTACACAGGACTCTCACACTGTGAGCAAAGGAAGTTGTTTTTAACTTAATTTGAATCACATTTGTATTGACTATATCCCCGGTGGCAATGACTCTAGAGGAGTTGATATCATTAAACCATGCCAAATCTTTTCTATATTGCTTCTTCATCAGAACAGGGTTGGTACTTTCCACCCTCGTTATTAGTCTCTCAGTTTCTTGTGAGTCAATGTAACTTCTTTACTAAATCTAGAAATTATTTATTTATGGATGGACCGACTTTACATCTTTATATTTCTTTTTATCACAGTTGAATTCATTACAATATAGAAGGATGAGTTTTGAAGAATTTTATGCAGCTGGGTTAAGTGTGCATCAACTTGAAATTCTTGATCGTTGAGAAAAACATGCTCGTTGTGTCTACTATGTACTTTATGTATCAAAATCAACATTGTTAATGAACATCTTTCTTAGTCATATTTTTAGTATTTTAATTTAGTATTAAACATCTTTCTTTTTAATTTTTATACATGAACAATTAAAGGTATCAATTATATTAATATATTGAACAATGTAATTTATTTTATATATAATATTCAATTTCAGTTCATATTACTTCATTGTCTATGTGGTTATTAAAACTAATTTGATCATAATCTCATTATATCACAGTCAAAAACTAAGAAAAAAAATGCACACATTTCCAGGGTTTTTTCATAACCCCTGCAAATACCAGCGGTTTTTTAGGAATCCCTGTTAATATTGGCGGTTTTTTCGAAACCTTTGTAAATACCGGCGGTTTTTCTAAAACTCACGCTAATACTGGCGGCTTTTTCAAAACTCCTGCTAATACCGACGGTTTTCTCAAAACCCCCGCTAATACCGATGGTTTGGTAATTATTTAGCGATGCAGCATTTTCCAGGGGTTTTTCGAACCGTGGGTAATGCATTTTCCGAAGTTAAAATCGCCGAAAACGAAAAAAATAATCCCCGAAAAAATTGTAAATTTTTGTAGACCTTTTGGTTGGAAAATATTAGCTGCAACTGTTTTTAACATAATTTGCATATTTAAAGTATTTTTTTTTTCAGGTTTATGACAAGTCTTCATGTTTATGTATAACTTTTGGATTTATTACTTCAAACCATCATAATATTTGAATTTTCTACGGTAGCGTATTTGTTTGAATATGATTAATTATGACTACAATAGGTTGGTTAGTATTGGTATGAACAAATTTACTTTAAAAACAGTTAAAAATATAAAAATATTATATCAATTAAGGTTAGACTCGATATAATAGGTGTATATATTACATCGGTTCCCACATTAACCAATGTAATAATTTCAAGCCTTTTAACTAGAACATATTACATTGGTTGTTTCCACTATGCCCTTCTAATGCTTTTTTCTAAAGTTTTTATTTAAATTATAAATGATGGAAATCATTGTAATATACTAATATTTTACATGAGTCAATTGATGTAAAATGTGTTTAACTTATTACATCACTTGAGTCTATATTAGTGGTAAAACCAATATAATATCTTTCAAAATATCCAATTTAATGCTATTTTTCAGGTAATGCTAACTTATCTTACATGAATTTGAGCTTTTTCTCTACTATTATGCACAAATTCAAGCTCTCACATAACATTTTACCTACACAAAGAAAAAATTAAGATCAATGATCTAAACTCTTCCTGATGATTACTGACATGTAGAGATTCATCTTAAGCTCAAAAAAGTGGCATGTAAACAATTTTCACATAAAGCATCTCACTAAACTAACTCAAGTAGATAAAGGATAAGCTTACTAATTTAGATGATGATTGTGCTTTATACTAAGACTCCTATAGTAAACTTGATCCGAAGAATTCTATTAGAAATTCAAAAGAAAAAGACAAATATTTCGAAAGAAATAGTATATTTTATAAAATAAAATTCAATTAACTATTTTTTTATTTATAATTCAAACTTTTAATAATAAAATAATCAATTTCTATTTACAAATCCTTAATCGAAATCTTTGGCATTGTTTCAAATAAAAAATTTCTAACAAATATAACTTACTATATACTTTGTCCATTTATGTGACTTATAATTATGCACATTTAAAATTTTCTGTTCTAAAATTTAACTATAATATAATTTTTTTTCTAAAAAATAAAAACCATAAAATTTTAATATTTATTTAAGATACTAAATTTTAAATAAATATTTTTTATTAGAAAAAATAAATAGAAATATAATAGTTAGGATCTATTAATGGATTTGTATATATAAAAAATTAACTGCAAAATTTACTCTTATTTAAATTGCATAAATTTTATTTATATTTTTCTTAAATACTTTTGTATGATTTTTCTTTTAAATTTATACAAATTAGTTATATAACACCTCTTTATATCATATTCACTAAGTATTAATGAATGATATTTTGAAAAGAAAGAACAACTTTAATAATTGAGAAATTAAGATGATTTAAATATAAGTTATTAATATGGCTCCTTAATTATATGGATGTTGATTCAAATTTATTGATGACGGACTTTTAACACGAACTTTTATGGTAGAGGACAAATATTTTCTTTAGCGAATTAATTTCTTCAAGAATATTTCATCTTTCAAAGTAAATTTTTCGTTATAAATTTACGCGTTAAATTTTTATAAATTAAATATGTATAATTTGAAAAAAAAAATTACTCTAACACAATTTATTTACGATCATGTAAAAGAAGAGCATGCTACTTTAAATATAATTTATTTGATATTATAATAAATAATTAAAATAAAATAATTGAAAGGAAGATAATAAAGTGTTGTTAGGTCAAAAACCTAAAGAGAAGATAAAGAAAAAGTTTAAAGAAAAAGTTCTCCGATTTTTATAAAACAAATTTTTAGTAATAGAAAATCTATTTATAACTTTTAATTTTTTTATAATTAAAATAATATTGTGTCATCTTTTAAAAACCATCACCATCACTAATTGTATATCATTTCTAGATTCTTACAAAATAAAATTTATCTAAAATCAAGGAAAAGCATATAATGTTACCCTAAATATAATTTATTTGAGATTACGATGAATAATTAAAATGAAATAATTGAAATGAAAAATAATAAAGTGGCTATGTTAATAATTTAATAAATAAAGTGCAAAAGGGAAGATGAATGGATATGGTTCTTAAAAGAAGAATTATTCAAGTAAAACACTTGAAAGTTTTCTGTAATTTGTGTGTTGATCATCATCAATTTTGATTTGAGCATATATTTACAAGTTTCCATCTTTTATTACAAAAAGCAAGTGAAACATTTTTAAAGCATAAATCTTAATTATTTATAACTTCTTAATATATAACTTCTATTGGTCTTTATTTTGATACTTGTAATCTTGGATCTCCAATATTAAATTATTAATAACATTCTTATCTTTATTTTCAAAATCTTCAATGTTTAATTATTTAATCTTCAGTGATATAATAAATCAAAACAATGTTGTTAACACGTTTATTTAGGATAACTTTCCTTAAAAACATCCCTTGACAACTAGAAACTAATTAAATAATTGGAACGTGTTTGTAGAATAATCGTCTCCCTTTTAGTTTCCATATTCGATTAAGATTTAAAATCTCATACCAGAAAAAACTATGTAATATTTCTTAAACAATGTATAACGTTAATGTGATGTTTACTAATCAATTGAAAGAAGTGAAGTGTTATATACGTTGATGTCATTGTGGCTTCAATGCCTTTTGTTAAACGTTGTTGTGCACTTAAATTTGATTTTGTGTGACAGCAGTTTTTATACGATAATGTAAGGAAGCCATATCCCTCCACCACCTACCCTCTGTCGCAAACACAACCAAACATCATCGTATTGATTGAAAGAGATCATGAATGTTCTTCTCAGTAAATATGGATCACCCAATAGTAGTCCTGCTCCTTTGATTATGCAGTCGAAGCAGGAGTTGGTTGGCACTGTTGAGGAAGAAAGAAAGGAAGAGGGAATGTTCCTGACATGGGAGGATTTGCAGGTGACAGTTCCAAATGGAAGGAAAGGTAGGAAACCGATTCTTAAGGCTCTAACTGGTTATGCCAAGCCAGGGCAACTTTTGGCAGTAATGGGTCCTTCTGGCTGTGGCAAATCGACACTTCTTGATGCCTTAGCAGGTGAATGCTTTTTTTTCTCTTTTCTTCCTATGATTGGAACATCATTGAATCTTTTGTATAATTGGAATCGAATTAAATTTTCTGACAGTATTTCAACTAGGAAATTTGAATTAATTTTTGTTTTAAGTTTTAAAAATGAAAAATATAATTCTTCTAATTCATGATAAGTTTATTTTATGTTAAATGATATTTTAGACCAACTTATATTATTTAACCCGAAAAACAAATTTGTGTGGTTAAATTAAAGAGAATTATGGTAAGTTTTGAACAAAAATGAATTAAAATTTGAATATACAAAATTAAAGTATTAAAGGATATATGAAGGAGTAATAATACATTGATCCTCATTGCATCCTATATAATCATTCTAATTACCTCACCATGGGAACTTCTAATTGTGAAGAGTTGGTTTAGAAACAAAGGGCATTTTGGTATAGAAAAATTGTGGACAAGCTGTTTGGTTTAATCCTTCTGAAAAATCTGCAGGAAGACTGGTTTCGAGCTCAAAGCAAACAGGAAAAATTCTAATTAATGGCCATAAACATGAACTGGCTTATGGAACATCTGTAAGTGAAATCCCTCAAAAGGCTTTTGTTTGAAGAAAATGAAATCTAATTAACCTCTTTTCATATTATTATTACCTTGTGAAAGCAGGCATATGTAACACATGATGATGCTGTGTTATCAACATTAACAGTAGGAGAAGCAGTGTCCTATTCAGCTCATCTCCAATTTCCAGAGTCAATGTCCAACAGAGAGAAGAAAGAGAGAGTAGATTTTACAATCAGACAAATGGGTCTACAAGAGACCACTCACACAAGGATTAAAGGGAAGGCTTCTAAAGGCCTTAGTGAGGGGCAAAAGAGGAGACTTGCCATTTGTATTCAGATTCTTACAAGCCCCAAACTTCTCCTTCTTGATGAACCAACCAGTGGCCTTGACAGTGCAGCTTCCTACTATGTCATGAGCAGAATTGCAAGCCTAAAGATAAGAGATGGCATCAAAAGAACAATCGTTGCATCCGTCCATCAGCCCAGCAGTGAAGTTTTTGAGCTTTTTGATCATCTTTGTCTTCTGTCTTCAGGTGAAACAGTATATTTTGGCACCACTTCTGCTGCAACCGAGGTTTGTAGCTGAATTAATCATGAACATTCTATATAAGAACAAATTCATTTCAGATTATAGCTTCTAATTGATTGTATTGTATTCTTGATTGAATGTAGTTTTTTGCTTCTAATGGCTTTCCTTGTCCACCTCTCCACAACCCTTCTGATCATTTCTTGAGGATCATAAACAAGGATTTCATACTGGTGAGAAAGTCAACACGTCAATGCATTAGAGCTGGCAACAAAACCTCGTTGATTTATCTTCATTATTTGCAGGATGATAAAGAAGGCTTCCACATAGTAGTACCCGAAGAAGAAGCAGTGGATACCCTTGTGAAGTTTTTTAAATCTTCTGAAATTAGTAACCAAGTTCGGAAAGAAGTAGCAGCAATAGGTGAAAGGGTAAGTGTAATATAACATGTTGCGTGGTGAACTCGTATAGAACAAGGATTTTTCACATGATGAAGGAATAACTTTTTGATGAATTCAGGAATACGGTTTCACGGGGAGCAGCAGAACACAAACAGCATTTCTAACTCAGTGTCACGTTCTTCTACGAAGATCTTCAGTGCACTTGTTTCGTGATGTAACCAATTATTGGTTGCGTCTGGCTATGTTTATTGTAGCAGCTATTAGTATGGGAACTATATTCTTTGACGTTGGTTCAAGTAATTCATCCATTCAGGTAAAGTAGTTTAAGTGCTTCGGTTTATGCCATTTAAAGCATAACGCAACTATTAATTCATGATAATAATAATTTCCTTTCTTCATGCATATTTCAGGCTAGAGGGTCACTGGTATCTTTTGTTGCTTCAGTCCTAACTTTCATAACCCTTCTTGGTGGATTTCCTCCATTTTTGGAACAAATTAAGGTAAAAACGCCATTCAAAATGCAATTAATCAACATGGTTTGTTCCAACCATATTGTTAGAAGTCTCACATTCACATATTGATAGAACAATTAAAATCTAGTACTTAACAAACATTATAAGAATACCTTTGACAAAAGAAGGTTGAAAAAATGTTATATGTTCCTAACATGTTTATGATTCAGGTATTTGAACGTGAGAGATTGAATGGACACTGTGGTGTTGGTGCTTTTGTCATTAGCCATACATTATCACCTATTCCATACATGGCACTGATGTCAGTGATTCCTGGTGTGATCACTTATTACCTTTCTGGACTTCACACAGGACTTGAACGTTGCATCTATTTTTCTAGTGTATTACTTGCATGCATTTTGTGGGTTGAGAGTCTCATGATGGTTGTTTCAAGTATCCTCCCAAATCCCAACACTAACATCACAGTCTCTGGTGGAATTATGGGAGTGATGATTTTAACTGGTGGGTTTTTTCGTCTGCCAAATGATCTCCCCAAACCATTTTGGAAATACCCTATGTATTATGTTTCCTTCCACAAATATGCCTTCCAAGGATTGTTCAAGAATGAGTTCATTGGTCTGAAGTTGAGAAGTGATGAAGATGGAGGAACCTACATAAGTGACAAGGAAGTACTCACAAAGATATGGCAAGTGGAAATGGGTTACTCCAAATGGGTTGATCTTGCTATCTTAATCGGAATAATTGTTTTATATAGACTTATGTTCTTGACAATTACTAAGACTAAGGAGAAAATGAAAAGCTAATTAATCTTTTGAAACAAACATAGTTATCAAATTTAATACATGATATTTTTACATAATGTTTTAGATAAGAATGAATTAGTTGAATTGTAATTCTATCTTATTTAAGAAAACTTGAGTATATCTTTTGGAAAATGGTATGTCGACAACGATTTTTTTGCCAACAATTTGACAATGGCAGGTGGCGTCTTTGCATTGGCCAAATTTAATAAAAAGAAAATAGAGAGAGGTTATCAGACTAAGGACAAAATTGGAAGAAAAGTTTACAAGTTTAACATTTTTGGTTTCGCAGTTTTCGTTTTCGTTTTTTCGCTCTCACCTCTACACTTCTTTCATCCCTTTTATCTTCTCTCTCGATCTAACCTCTATCTTCTCTGTCGTTCTAACCCTATTCTTGTATCTTTTTTCTGATTCGAAGTCTGGTGGCGGTTTGGATGTCATGAATTTAATTCTTTTAACGTTGTGTGTTATAATGAATAAAGGTGTTATATTGAAAAAAGAACACAGAATATTAATAAGTATTTAAAATGTAGGCAATGGTTTCAGAAATGAATATAAGTTGTGGAATTTGTTGNATTGATCATCATCAATTTTGATTTGAGCATATATTTAAAAGTTTCCATCTTTTATTACAACAAGCAAGTGAAACATTTTTAAATCATAAATCTTAATTATTTATAACTTCTTATATAACTTCTATTGGTCTTTATTTTGATACTTGTAATCTTGGATCTCCAATATTAAATTATTAATAACATTCTTATCTTTATTTTCAAAATCTTCAATGTTTAATTATTTAATCTTCAGTGATATAATAAATCAAAACAATGTTGTTAACACGTTTATTTAGGATAACTTTCCTTAAAAACATCCCTTGACAACTAGAAACTAATTAAATAATTGGAACGTGTTTGTAGAATAATCGTCTCCCTTTTAGTTTCCATATTCGATTAAGATTTAAAATCTCATACCAGAAAAAACTATGTAATATTTCTTAAACAATGTATAACGTTAATGTGATGTTTACTAAACAATTGAAAGAAGTGAAGTGTTATATACGGTTGATGTCATTGTGGCTTCAATGCCTTTTGCCCAACGTTGTTGTGCACTTAAATTTGATTTTGTGTGACAGCAGTTTTTATACGATAATGTAAGGAAGCCATATCACTCCACCACCTACCCTCTGTCGCAAACACAACCAAACATCATCGTATTGATTGAAAGAGATCATGAATGTTCTTCTTAGTAAATATGGATCACCCAATAGTAGTCCTGCTCCTTTGATTATGCAGTCGAAGCAGGAGTTGGTTGGCACTGTTGAGGAAGAAAGAAAGGAAGAGGGAATGTTCCTGACATGGGAGGATTTGCAGGTGACAGTTCCAAATGGAAGGAAAGGTAGGAAACCGATTCTTAAGGCTCTAACTGGTTATGCCAAGCCAGGGCAACTTTTGGCAGTAATGGGTCCTTCTGGCTGTGGCAAATCAACACTTCTTGATGCCTTAGCAGGTGAATGCTTTTTTTTCTCTTTTCTTCCTATGATTGGAACATCATTGAATCTTTTGTATAATTGGAATCGAATTAAATTTTCTGACAGTATTTCAACTAGGAAATTTGAATTAATTTTTGTTTTAAGTTTTAAAAATGAAAAATATAATTCTTCTAATTCATGATAAGTTTATTTTATGTTAAATGATATTTTAGACCAACTTATATTATTTAACCCGAAAAACAAATTTGTGTGGTTAAATTAAAGAGAATTATGGTAAGTTTTGAACAAAAATGAATTAAAATTTGAATATACAAAATTAAAGTATTAAAGGATATATGAAGGAGTAATAATACATTGATCCTCATTGCATCCTATATAATCATTCTAATTACCTCACCATGGGAACTTCTAATTGTGAAGAGTTGGTTTAGAAACAAAGGGCATTTTGGTATAGAAAAATTGTGGACAAGCTGTTTGGTTTAATCCTTCTGAAAAATCTGCAGGAAGACTGGTTTCGAGCTCAAAGCAAACAGGAAAAATTCTAATTAATGGCCATAAACATGAACTGGCTTATGGAACATCTGTAAGTGAAATCCCTCAAAAGGCTTTTGTTTGAAGAAAATGAAATCTAATTAACCTCTTTTCATATTATTATTACCTTGTGAAAGCAGGCATATGTAACACATGATGATGCTGTGTTATCAACATTAACAGTAGGAGAAGCAGTGTCCTATTCAGCTCATCTCCAATTTCCAGAGTCAATGTCCAACAGAGAGAAGAAAGAGAGAGTAGATTTTACAATCAGACAAATGGGTCTACAAGAGACCACTCACACAAGGATTAAAGGGAAGGCTTCTAAAGGCCTTAGTGAGGGGCAAAAGAGGAGACTTGCCATTTGTATTCAGATTCTTACAAGCCCCAAACTTCTCCTTCTTGATGAACCAACCAGTGGCCTTGACAGTGCAGCTTCCTACTATGTCATGAGCAGAATTGCAAGCCTAAAGATAAGAGATGGCATCAAAAGAACAATCGTTGCATCCGTCCATCAGCCCAGCAGTGAAGTTTTTGAGCTTTTTGATCATCTTTGTCTTCTGTCTTCAGGTGAAACAGTATATTTTGGCACCACTTCTGCTGCAACCGAGGTTTGTAGCTGAATTAATCATGAACATTCTATATAAGAACAAATTCATTTCAGATTATAGCTTCTAATTGATTGTATTGTATTCTTGATTGAATGTAGTTTTTTGCTTCTAATGGCTTTCCTTGTCCACCTCTCCACAACCCTTCTGATCATTTCTTGAGGATCATAAACAAGGATTTCATACTGGTGAGAAAGTCAACACGTCAATGCATTAGAGCTGGCAACAAAACCTCGTTGATTTATCTTCATTATTTGCAGGATGATAAAGAAGGCTTCCACATAGTAGTACCCGAAGAAGAAGCAGTGGATACCCTTGTGAAGTTTTTTAAATCTTCTGAAATTAGTAACCAAGTTCGGAAAGAAGTAGCAGCAATAGGTGAAAGGGTAAGTGTAATATAACATGTTGCGTGGTGAACTCGTATAGAACAAGGATTTTTCACATGATGAAGGAATAACTTTTTGATGAATTCAGGAATAAGGTTTCACGGGGAGCAGCAGAACACAAACAGCATTTCTAACTCAGTGTCACGTTCTTCTAAGAAGATCTTCAGTGCACTTGTTTCGTGATGTAACCAATTATTGGTTGCGTCTGGCTATGTTTATTGTAGCAGCTATTAGTATGGGAACTATATTCTTTGACGTTGGTTCAAGTAATTCATCCATTCAGGTAAAGTAGTTTAAGTGCTTCGGTTTATGCCATTTAAAGCATAACGCAACTATTAATTCATGATAATAATAATTTCCTTTCTTCATGCATATTTCAGGCTAGAGGGTCACTGGTATCTTTTGTTGCTTCAGTCCTAACTTTCATAACCCTTCTTGGTGGATTTCCTCCATTTTTGGAACAAATTAAGGTAAAAACGCCATTCAAAATACAATTAATCAACATGGTTTGTTCCAACCATATTGTTAGAAGTCTCACATTCACATATTGATAGAACAATTAAAATCTAGTACTTAACAAACATTATAAGAATACCTTTGACAAAAGAAGGTTGAAAAAATGTTATATGTTCCTAACATGTTTATGATTCAGGTATTTGAACGTGAGAGATTGAATGGACACTGTGGTGTTGGTGCTTTTGTCATTAGCCATACATTATCACCTATTCCATACATGGCACTGATGTCAGTGATTCCTGGTGTGATCACTTATTACCTTTCTGGACTTCACACAGGACTTGAACGTTGCATCTATTTTTCTAGTGTATTACTTGCATGCATTTTGTGGGTTGAGAGTCTCATGATGGTTGTTTCAAGTATCCTCCCAAATCCCAACACTAACATCACAGTCTCTGGTGGAATTATGGGAGTGATGATTTTAACTGGTGGGTTTTTTCGTCTGCCAAATGATCTCCCCAAACCATTTTGGAAATACCCTATGTATTATGTTTCCTTCCACAAATATGCCTTCCAAGGATTGTTCAAGAATGAGTTCATTGGTCTGAAGTTGAGAAGTGATGAAGATGGAGGAACCTACATAAGTGACAAGGAAGTACTCACAAAGATATGGCAAGTGGAAATGGGTTACTCCAAATGGGTTGATCTTGCTATCTTAATCGGAATAATTGTTTTATATAGACTTATGTTCTTGACAATTACTAAGACTAAGGAGAAAATGAAAAGCTAATTAATCTTTTGAAAAAAACATAGTTATCAAATTTAATACATGATATATTTACATAATGTTTTGGATAAGAATGAATTAGTTGAATTGTACTTCTATCTTATTTCAGAAAACTTGAGTATATCTTTTTTAACTGCATTTGAATTTTAGAGAGGAACGCTATTGTAAGCTTTAAATAGTCTTTTATGATAAAACTGAAATTTTAGTTCTCACACTTTTTATTTTTTCATTACCAGCGTTTTTATTTTTTCATTACCAGCGTTTTTAATTCCTAGTAAATATATTTTTTGCGATTGACAAAATAGTTAGGAAAATCGTTGTCGGTGATAATTTTTTATGGTTTTGTTCAAAATCGTTGCTATTTGTAGTGGTTTCATAAAAATTCTCGCCACTTACAGGGGTTTCTGAAATTGTAGCCAGTTGCAGGAGGTTTTACAAAAAATGTCGATAGTTGTTGAGGCTACTTAAAATCGTTGGGAGTTGTGTGAGATGTCTAAAACTGTCGGAACTTGTGTAGGTTGTCCAAAATCGTTGGAAATTTCTGAGCTTATTTACTTGGAATTTCAAAAACAGCCGGTAATACAACTAATTTTTTTTTTTAATAATTCAAATGATTTGCTTAATTTGATTAATAACAAATATGTTTAATAATAAATCATTTCAACCGAAAAGTAATTAATATTCACTAGTAAAAAAAAGGATTTAAACTCGCGCATTTATCACTAGTTTAGTTGGAACCAAAGCAAAAAATGGTGCGGTGGTATTTTTGTAATTTTTCGCATAGGTATATGTCTCGGTTAAAAAAGAACCGATTCCTAAAACTAGCACGGTGGCATTTTTATAATTTTTCGCAAAGGTATATACCTCGGTTCAAAAAGAACCGGCGCGATGACATTTTTGTAATTATTACAAAAGTCTACGACCTCGGTTGTTTAGAGAACCGAGCCATAAAATAACTGATTTTTTTTTATTTTTTAGGCGATTTAGGCATCGGTTCTTTATAGAACCGAGGTCATAGATCCTTATTGTCTCGGTTAAAAAAATAACTGAGGTAATAACATCTGTTTAGGGTTAAATTTTGCGAACATATGCATTATCAAACAGAAGCTTTTCTGTTTGTGGTGTGCGCCTCTGCTCTCTTTCTTCGATTTTCGCAGCCATCCTCTTCAACTTTTCTTGCTTTTTTATTTCATTTTACGTTGATTAAGTGCTTAGGTATGTTTTTCTTTCGTTTTGACCGATTAATTTTGTGCACATGTGTTCTTCAGCTCTTCGAATAGACACTTTAGGATGGTCATTTCGTTTCGTTTCAGCCCCAAACACTACAAAAAAAAAGGGCATTACCGAAGGCCAGAAGCCCTCGGAAACAGCCCAAAACCGTCGGTAAAAGATAATTACCGAAGGCTTATCGACGGCCAAAGAGCCCTCGGTAAATCCCTTGTCGCTAACATTTACCGAGGGCTTTTGCCCTTCGGTAATTACCGAGGGCCAAAAGCCTTCGGTAATTACCGAGGGCCAAAAGCCTTCGGTAATTTCCGAAGGGCGAATTTTCTACTGTCCAGTAACCAATTATGGTGTAGTTTATGATCTGCTTTGGTGTAGTTTATAAATGTAAGTAGAAGTCATAGATATTGGGAAAAAATTACCATACTGCTGGAAATGTACCTCAAAGGTATATTTTTTCAACCAATATGAGAAGTAACGGTAGCAAAACATACCTAAATCCAACTTTCATAATAGTATCAACCAATAGAAACTCTAATCTTCTCTAATTATTATGTACTAAAATTCCTAATTCTATTTC